GTACCAGGATATTAGTACACCTGAACAGAGATAATACTCAATTGGAGTATTTTTTTCCTTTGTAATGAGGCAGGAAAGTATGAAGACAATATTCTCAGCTACTATCCACTATATGTTGAATTCTACTGGTATAAATTTGTGACTAACTCAACTTTCATAGATCAGTTGGCAAGAAATGTCTTATGCATAGTCATTAAAATATTTACCAATCAAATGATGCATTAAAAGAAGAGGAAATATGTTATGTAGAAATAAAGGGAAAAAAAAAGACATTATTTTAGGCTGGGCATCAACATGTCCAAAAATAAACCAGCGTATCATGTTCTGGTCCAATAAAAATGGCAAACTCCAGTGTGAAAAGAGAATAAATGAGAGAATGATAGAGATGAAAAGACTAAAAAAGGAAGATGAAGAAGAGGAAATTGTAAAATACGGCCAAGCAGAATGTGAGTGAAGAGATACTAAACAGATTAAAAGTGATCTCAGGGCCAGCAAGATGGTTTAACAGGTAAAGACACCTCTATACTAGCTGATGACCTGAATTCCGTCCCCGGAACTCACATTTTTTAATAAAACCCAGATGCAGAGGCTGAGGTCCATAATCCCAATCCTCATGGTGAAATGGAGACAGAAGCGGGAAAATCAGCCAAAAGTTCATGTACGCATATGCAGCGCAGCAACAGAAACAACACGAGAGACCTGCCTCAAAAACAAGGTAGAATGACCTCCGTGTGTGTCACAGAACATGTGCACCCACGCTCTCACACCCTCTCTCATAAATACTAAATAATGTATTTTTTTAAAAAGTGATTTCACAAAGCTAAATGACCTATTTGCAGTAGAACTCAGTCTATCAGAGACTCCAGAACAGGAAACTTAAAACTGATTGACAATAAAAATGTATGGAAACATGAGTCTAGCCTGGTGGCTCATGCTGTTAATTCTAGTACTTAGGAGGCTGAGTCAGAAGCACTGCCATCAATTCATGGCAATAGTGAGATCCAGGCCAACCCGGATTACAGAGACTCTGTCTCAAAAGAAAAATTAGTGGTGATAACGGCAGTATAAGGTTTTATCCTGGTTTATAAATCAAACAGAGACTGGATAAGTAAGGTTCTAGAGGATGTAGCCGACTGCAATTTTCTTTTAGGGAAAAAAATTGTTTGGAGACAGGGTCTCAGTATGCAGCCCAGTCTAACCTCAAACTATATAGACCAGTCTGGCCTTGAACACACAGAGATTCACCTGCCTTTGCATCCCAAGTGGCGTG